AGATTCAAGAGAAAGCCTATGAATATAACATTGACTTAAATCATTTTTATGTGGACTTCAGACAAGCATTTGATAGTCTCAATAGGGACCAAATGTTAAATGATATTCTCCTATTAGGGATACCATCTAAATACGTCAGCCTCATTGGAGCAACGTTGAAAAATTCCAAGGCAGTAGTAAGAGTAGATGGTGAGCTAACTAAACCATTTAATGTCAATATGGGAGTTAGACAAGGAGATGCTCTCTCAACAATGCTTTTTAACCTGACGCTGGAAGCATCTATTCGGAAACTTGAGATCTCAGGACATATAGGCATCAAATCAATACACGTGAGTGCATATGCAGATGATATAGCTATTATTAGCAGGAATAAAGCTGCACTGGAAGAAACAGTATTAAAATTGATAGAAGAAACAGAATTAAGGGGGCTAAAAATAAATGAATCGAAAACAAAATATATGAAAGTTACAAGAGCAGCAAGAAATGTCACAAATAAATTGAGAATAGGACATTATAATTTTGAACATGTGCAGAATTTTAATTACCTGGGTTCACAGATTAATACTATAAATTCAGTAACTAATGAAATTAAAGCACGTATTGTGAATGGTAATAGATGTTATTATGCCTATCAGAATTTAATGAAGTCTATAATACTGGGGAGGGAACTTAAACTGAGAATCTATAAAGTTCTGATCAGACCAGTAGTCACATATGGATGTGAAGCCTGGACATTAACTAGCTTTGATGAGCAACAACTTAGAATATTTGAACGCAAAATATTACAAAAAATCTATGGTCCAATACAGAATAGTGATGGCTCCTGGAGAATTAGGTTGAACCATGAACTAGATTGTATCATACAGGGAGCAGATATTGTGAGGCTGATCAAAAGCAAAAGGTTAGCCTGACTTGGACATGTTGCAAGAATGGAAGGAAACAGGGTAACTAGAAGAGTGATGGAATAGAGACCGATGGGAAGAAGGATGAGAGGGAGACCACGGAAACGATGGATAGACAACGTGGAGGAGGATGTGAGGATAATGGGAGTAAGGGGATGGAGAAGAATTGTGAATGATAGGACAGAATGGAAAAAAATCATCGAACAAGCTAAGACCCACACAGGGTTATAACGCTATAAGAAGAGGAAGAGAAGACCATTGGGCTTAAAGGGTTAAGGTGAATGCCATGATAATCTGTTAAAGTGACCCATGGTTGTTCACTTTGCCTTGCTTCCTGATTCTTCTTTCCTTCTACACAGCATAGTCATAACATTTTGAGTTCTTCTTCATAGACTAAGCTTTGAATTCAGTTCAAGTTAGATTCACATTTCTTCTCTTTCAGGCTTCCCATGGGTTTATCACGCAACATAAATGGGCGCATGAAGTTAAGGCCTTCATAAATTTGGAGGCCTGTGGTGCTGGAGGTAGGGAAACATTGTTCCAGGCTGGCCCCAATCACCCGTGGCTCATACAGGTTAGATCCTTTTGATTTATAATTGCAAGTTAATGTGCTGTTTAGTTGTATTGCAGCCTGTTAATATCATAGAAATTTAATGATTCCATTAGAAGTTAGTCAAACAATTCAGGATATATGGTGATTCATCATTGTTTTATATGCTTTCCATGCTCCCTTTGATATTCTTTATGCTGTATTGTGAGTGAAGAACTTCTTATGGGTTCATTCATGTGTCTGTTTGTCTTATTTTGCAACAGGAGTGGGCCTGAAGGTTGTTCTTCTTTTTAATGTTGTTAAACACGTTCTTACACATGTTGTTATTGTTATTAATATTTTTATTATTGCTCCTGTTCTTCTTCTTCTTCTTCTTGTAGCATTATAACCCTATGTGGGTCTTAGCTTGTTCGACGAGTTTTTTCCATTCTGTCCTATCATTCACAATTCTTCTCCATCCCCTTACTCCCATTATCCTCACATCCTCCTCCACGTTGTCTATCCATCGTTTCCGTGGTCTCCCTCTCATCCTTCTTCCCATCGGTCTCTATTCCATCACTCTTCTAGTTACCCTGTTTCCTTCCATTCTTGCAACATGTCCAAGTCAGGCTAACCTTTTGCTTTTGATCAGCCTCACAATATCTGCTCCCTGTATGATACAATCTAGTTCATGGTTCAACCTAATTCTCCAGGAGCCATCACTATTCTGTATTGGACCATAGATTTTTTGTAATATTTTGCGTTCAAATATTCTAAGTTGTTGCTCATCAAAGCTAGTTAATGTCCAGGCTTCACATCCATATGTGACTACTGGTCTTATCAGAACTTTATAGATTCTCAGTTTAAGTTGCCTCCCCAATATTCTAGACTTCATTAAATTCTGATAGGCATAATAACATCTATTACCATTCACAATACGTTCTTTAATTTCATTAGTTACTGAGTTTATAATATTAATCTGTGAACCTAGGTAATTAAAATTCTGCACTTGCTCAAAATTATAGTGTCCTATTCCCAGTTTATTTGTGACTTTTTGACGTAAATATGTCTATAAGGAAGGGTCATTCGGCAAAAATGTGTAAGGAAAAGTGTTACGAAAAAGGGAAACGAAAAAGTGTAACTTCATTGTTATGTTACCTAGGAGACCTCATCTGTTTACTCAGCATTGTTGTTACCTAGGAAACGTCATCTGTTTACTCGGCATTATTGTTACCTAGGAAACGTTATCTGTTTACTTAGCATTGTTATTACCTATAAAACATTACATTACATTACCTTACCTTACATTACACTACATTACATTACTTTACATTACATTCAGCTACCAGAGACCCATTTTAAGCGTAACTGATTGAAGTTGAATAATCAATGTCTTAATCAAACTTATCTCAATTGTAAAGCATGTATAAAGGAAATATTTAGAATAATGCCAATATATAAAGTTCCTTTCTGTATAGACATATTTACGTCAAATTCTCCGGAACCGTGGTTCCAATATCACTTTTTATGTATAGTTTATATTACTCCTAGGGTCCATTCTTCTGGAATCTTTTCTTCTTTCCAGATTAATAATATCAGATTATGTATTCTCTCCCATAACTTGACTTCCCCTTTTTTGAGTAGTTCAGCGGTAATCCCATCACTTCCGGGTGCTTTACCATTTTTCAGACATATGACTACTTTTTGTACTTCTTCAGACGTAGGATCTTCAATATAATTATCCACAGTATAATATGTCGGCTGCTCTGTCTCAATTATATTTTCTGTCAGGATACCACTAAAATACTCTTTCCATCTGTTAACAATATCACCATTCTCTGTCTTGCTCCTGTTATTATTATTGTTATTTCCAGTGATATCCTTATTCTTATTCCTGTTTTATTGTTGTTTGTATTGTAATTCTTATAGCTTTTGAAGCAGTAATAATAGGATTAATAATTGCATAGAAATGACAAATTAATAAAAAGTTATTGTCTGATTAGCTTGTTGAGGCGTATGTGGAACTGTCACATAATGGTGAGTTCATGCTGAGATTAATGATATTTATGGTTGAAGCTCCCCAAGATTCCAGACATCTTATTAAAGATGCCAGGACTTGAAAACAGCCCTTTAATAGCTAACAAACTAATTCATATTTTTATATAAGTCATTGGTGTACTTATACAAAACAAAATAAATTATAAAAGATGTGTTTTTGTAAATAAAATTGTTTGTCTATTCAAACACGGAATTTTTAAATCAGAATGATGATGAACAATAAATTATGGAAAAATTAAAGAAATACCTGCTTTTCTCACACTTATAGCCTCATCAATTCACCACAAATAATGCAGTGTTCACGTAAATGATGATACTGATGATTACTTTTTGCTTCGTAACAAATAGCTACTCGACTACATGTTTGTATGGGTTCCACATGGAAGTTTTGAAACATGACTGACTCAATGGCGCAACAGCCTGAAGCTGAGCCTTGGCCTCCTCCCATGTGGGAGGTTTCTTTGTCTATGAAGTGTGCATTTATGAGTTGTGAGTGACAATCCCACTGCCTCCGCACAGTTTCTGCTCAATCCTGATTTGTCTGCTAAAGCCATTTAGTAGTGAATCACTAAAGACTTGGGTGAGAAATGGCTGCTGAGTTTTGCTTACGAAACATCTCATTCATACTTGTAGGGTATTTTACATGCCATAAATCTACGACATGGAACCGCTGGCTTTACTTCCCCTCCGAAGGAAGTCGTGCTATTGATTTTTATCACCTTTAAAATCCATTGACTTTGGCCGGGTTTGAGCCCGCGAACCTTGGGTCCAGTGGCAAGCATGCTAACCACTAGTCCACCGAAGGCAACAGCTTTGAAACATATGTAGTTTAATATAACAAGTGCACGGTTTTAACATGTAGGCCTATTTGTGTGAATACAAAAAATGCATTAAAATATATATTTAGACATCAGGACTTGAACTTGCAAATGAATATTCATTGATATGAATATTCATTTGCAAGTCTACAGGGGAACATGAGCAACCAACTGAAGAAAAGCTTTCACCTCTGTTGTGCTTTTGGAGGACTTGGAAAAGTCATCAACATTAATATATGTTCTTCAAATTATATGCATGCTGATGTCTTTGTTGAACAGACATCTGGCATAAATCATTGTAGTTAATGGAAGGTATAAAAAAGCTACAAATGAACAAATACAAGGAAATTACAAATGACTTAATTATGATGATGGCTGTACACTTACATCACTTCTGGTTTGGGTCTTAGAAAATGTCAGGTGCATGTTTTTTGTTGGAGAGGGTATGATCAGCTCAAATGAAGATGAGTCACAGTCATGGTAATAGTAATACTGCATGAAGAAGGTTTTCCATTCTGTTTTTATACCTATACAGTGAATAGAATTTCATCTGGCAGATTAATTATGTATCTTCCTAAAATACTTGCATTCCTAATGAAATTACAGTTTCAGTATTTTCACTAGCCATCACTACTACTACTACTGCTGTTAATGTCATTATAATTCATATACAGTGCTTGACCATCCATGTGGTTCTTTGGGAGTGCAGTCAAGTAGATTATGAGTACAAATAAAGACTGTATGTTATGTCTTTCAGTTGGTACTCCCCTGTTTGCCTCTGCCTTCTTCCACTTTAACAGTTTTCCTCAGACTTAAGCAGCTTTCTTTGAATTCAATATTTTTTGTTTAGTTTTACAAGCAGTTTGGAGATTGCTGGGACAGTGCCGTTTTAACATAAATCTTATATATGGAATACTGTATCACATGTTTGTTGGAATAACTGGTTTCACCCATTTTCTTTGGAACATTGTGATTTGTAATTACTGCCATGAGAACCTCAAATCCTAGCTTGGAAAAGAGACTACCTGAGTTTGAACATGGAAGAAACATAAGGCATAAGTATTGTGTCTTTCTTTCATAAATTACATTGGACATTTCCAGACACACTTTTTTTAAATCTCATTTTATTATTGGAATACACCATTAATTTATCTGGTTGTAATATCTGAGAATAGGTAATAAAGAAATGTTTGTATTTATTGTTTTAGAACATTTAGTCCATATCGTTAGCACATTTCTTTCATGTTTAAAGATGTATGCAGATTCAGTGCCACATCCACATGGTCATGTTTTGGGTGAAGACATTTTCCAGAGTGGTTTAGTCCCATCAGATACAGATTACAGAATATTCAGAGACTTTGGGAAAATTCCAGGTGAGAAGAAAGACAATGCAACACCTAAATATTTAATTGCACATTATATATACAGGTAGCCCTCGATTTGCGCAGGTTCATAATAATGCCAATTTTGAAACCAGCAAGTCAAAAAATGGGAAAAAATATATTTTACTATTATTTATAACATTTTACAATGTATCTTGTACTGATTCTTATACTAAATCGTAATTCTTACATCGCTGATTTTTAATAAAAATTATAAATACAGTTATCTCTGCAATTACCTGTTTTGTTAACACGAATTTCCTCTAATGAGATCGATGTATTGGTAACAGATGTTTGTGAAATGCAAACTTTTGCATATGCGAGTTTGCTCTTATGCAATTTCAATCCTGGCGCTTTAAACTTTCAAAGGACTAATTTAATCTCTGCGGAGGTACCGGGGTTATTTTTACTACGCAATTTTCTGTAGCTAGGCGTCTTACATGAATGCAGCTATCGCATAACAACAGAGGTGACTGTACACATCAGTCACATGAAAGAATCGCAGTAAATCGTGGGGACCAACGAATTGCCGATTATAAGTGTATAAAATATATTTTTTAAATTCCCTTTATTTTATTTACGTTATTTCAGAGCTTTAAATGTAATGTCATTATATTACTTGTCAATGTTTGGGTGCTGGGAACACATGTCACTGACTTCCCATTGATTTACTTTATAAAAGAGTTTCAATTTACGCCGGTTTGTCTAGGAACGCATCCCCGGCATAAATCGAGGGCTACCCGCATCTGTATAAAAACTTGAAGTAGGTTTTTGTGATATTCAGTACATGGGAGTGTACTGTACAGGACAACGTTTGAGATTAATGTGGGATGCTTTAAGTTTTAGACTGGATGTCTGGAGCTCAATTCCTAGCTTGTCCAGACAGGCTCTGGTGCCCACTCAGCCTCCTATCCAGTGGATGCTAAGGCATCTTTTCTTTGGGGTAGAGCAGTCAGAATGTGAAGTTGAGGTTAAGAATATGTGGATCTTTACTTACACTTCTACTTTCCCATTGCATAGCATTCAGGTACCAGGTCAACTTGCAGTCAAATACAATTTCCATTGGCTTATTTGACTCTCCCTTGTTTCAGGCCTAGACTTTGCTCATGCAATGAATGGCTATGTGTACCACACTAGGTATGATAATCTTCATGCAATTCCTACTGGGACATTGCAGCACACAGGAGATAACTTGCTGGCACTTACTAAGCGCATAGCTTCATCTGATATTTTAAGCAACCCACAGGAGTATGCAGCAGGAAGAACTGTGTATTTTGATGTTTTGGGACTCTTCATGGTCAGCTATTCAGAGACGGCAGGCATTATTTTAAATGTCTTTATAGTTGTGTTGTCTGTGTACACAGTTACAAAGAATATCCACACTATCAAGTCAGGTAATGTAATTATTTGTGGCTGCAGTGCTGAAAAGGATTGTGGGTTTTTATTATTAAATTCTTGTTGTTATTGCTGTTTATTATATTTTTATTGTTATTGTCATAATTTTCATTATTATTATTATTGTCATCATTATCAGTGAAGATGACTGTCTTCTGGGTTGTAGCGCCACGTAGTCTGGTAGAAGTTTGCTGATTTTTCAGAGGTGCTTGCTGCCACCATTATCAAAGCAATGAGTAATCTGCATTATGAAAAATTGTTTTCCATTGTTGACAAACTCTGTAATAAAGAAAATTATTATTATAATTAATAGAAGTGAATACTGTTTTGAAAATTAAATAATAATTAGGAATTACTTGTTTTATACAGGAGGTATAATAGTGGTAGGATAGTGAAATCAGGCTTCAAATTACAGCAGATTTGTCTTAAGATAGGGGGAAAAAGATGGAATTTTGGCATGGAAATGTATTGGAAAGCAGTCACTCGGAAAATGGGGAAGGAACTGAAAGAATAATGCCAGAATGGATCTAAGGGAAAAAAGATTTGGTGGTGGAAAGTAGATGGAACTGACTCAGGATCGTGTTTGATACAAATTACTGATGAATGAATGAAAACCACAAGAACAAAAATTAAACCCTGTATTGAAAGATTAATAATTTAGTATCAGATATCTTACTACTGATTGATTTTGTTAAAGAAAATGATTGACTTATAGTAGAGTCTCAATTATCTGACCTAAATGAGACTGAAAGATGGTCTGATAATCGATAATGTTGGATAGTATGGAAGACTAATGAAAAAGATGATGGTAAATATCAACTCAATTTACAGTATCATTAAATTGTGAAGAAAATACAATATGGCATCAAATGAACAAATCTCACAAACAAAAATAGTATTTAACATTCTATAACTTTGTAAATGAAAGAGTTATTTTTTAAATAAGTTAGTAATGGGTATTTTTGTACTGCATTTCTTCTTACAGGTCCAGGATTGAATCATACTGGTTACTTAAAGTTATTTCTATTGAGCTGTGTAATACCAGCGGTGGGATGGCTGCTAGCATTTGTAAATGTACTACTAGTGGCATTGATCCTTGACCTGTTCAGTAGTTCAATGAGTTGGTTCACAAGACCAGGCCTTGTATTCAGCCTGTACTACTGCCCTGTTCTTGTTTGCTGTATGGTGTTCCCATTGCTGCTTCAAAAGTACATTAATAAACAGGCAAGTCTATCAGTGCATAAAGCCTTTCTGTACTGTGGTCAAGTTATACCATCTTGATATCTAGCTCTTATGCATGACTGTCTTCTAGGAAGTTGTGCTGTGTAGTTTGGTAGAAGTTTATTGACTTATCACCCTGAAGATGGAGGTATCAATTGCCTCTGAAACATTGGAAACTTCTAGCAAACTACGTGACACAACATCCCAAATAACAGCCATCTTCATATTCACTGATCACATGAGAAATGGAAATCATGCTTTTTCTACCCTGAATATCTTTGGAATGAAGGAGCTGGGTGAATAATGGTTCGTTGTGCAGACAGAACAAAGATGTCTCTGTCACCTGACATTCATATTTTGAAATATAAATTTTCATTTTCAAAGGAAGTTCTATATTTATGCACATGTAAATCACAATTATTTATTCAAAATTCTTT